ATATATATATTTATATATGTATATATAGGTATAAATATATATATATATATTTGCATATAAATGTTTATTGTGATATATATGTAAAGTATACAATAAGTATATGACGTTAGTCAATTGCACACTCGTGTGCACCTACCTTCTACCATTAGATTTTTGCATGTAATGTATAAATGAAATTCGCTGAATCCAGAAGAACAGATAGCACAGGAAGGCATCGTATAGTTTACGTTTGATAAATGACATCCGAAATTAAATTTTAAGAAGTTGTAGAGTGTCTTCAGATATTGCTGTGCTAAACGAGTACGTGCTTTTGTGTGCTATGCTCTACCTTGTCACCTTCGGCTAGGGAGATCAATTCGCTCTGGTAGTCCAGCACGATGCTGCATCCTTCGTCAGATTTCCCTTCAAGCCGCGAGACGGCTTCAAACTTCTTACTTATTATACGTTTAGACGGATCATTGGGATCCTCTGTGCGATCAATTGCATGTACTTTGAAGTTGGTCCTGAAGATGGACTTTTCCCCTTTCTTTGACTTTTTAGTTGCAGTAACCATGGCGCTCGATATGTATGAAAATATGTAACTCCTGACTCGTAGTATGGATTTCTACGACTACTGACTTTATTTCCTATACACGCTCGATTCACAGCCCCTCTCTTTCTAGAGTCTAGAGATACTTCCGTTTAGATACGCACTACATATATATTATAATATTTCAACCGTCAAGTTCACGAACGATGATAACAATTAAAAAAAAAAAGTAATAATTATACACGTGCGGATTCTATGCCTTTTTATAATGTGTAGGTGAGCCAGCCCCGGGGCCCGGGACGAGTGTTATTTTTCTCTCAGAGACGACTCTCTGTCCCCGTGTCCCGTCTCCTCTCTACTAGTCTCTACTCTTTCTCTCTCTTAAATAGAGAATCCTCCGAGGTCTATATATTAGACAATTGTTTTTATTGAATGATTTCGGAAAAGCTACTTGTATCCTTGTCTCGTCTCAACTCTAACCTCTGAAGTGTCCCCAGAAGTTATTTCACTTATTTGAATGTGTTTGTTGCATAATTTCGGAAAAGCTGTTATTGAGGGCCACGCCGAGACTCCAAAGACTATGTTTGGAGTCTGATATGTTTGGAGTCTGAAGAGTTCAGATTAGCCCACTTTAACTTTTGCACAAAATACATACTTTTTAGCAAAAGTCAAGAGCCATGAGACTCTTGGTCTCAAAAAGAGTTCTACAGCTTTCAAGTCGCTGAGCGGTCAGTAAGACTCAGGTGAGTGAGGCGACATATCTTTTGTACAATCTCTCTACTACTCTCCGTTCTACTGTAAATACTACTACTTTAGAGAGAGAAAGAGAGACTATATAGATACAGAGAGAGGAAATCAAAGCAGGGTGATTCATACTACAATACAGGGTTACACCAACTAAATATATCCGGATTTGAAACGATTCTTTCATTTTGAAAATCACATTTTTTGTTCAGATATAAATTTTTAATGAGGTTGAGCCGACAACACCTTGAATTTGAATAATTTGTATTTATCCCTATATATTTCCGTAAACAACCTGCATACTTTATTCTCTGTTGAGTGTTAAGTGACGACTCGGAGTTTTCTTCAACACCCAGGCACCCGACGATGACACGTGTACTGTGTGCAGGACCTGCCGACCTGGTGGCTAGGTGCATATGTACTGTGTGTTGCTGGGTTTGGCCGTTGGGTGTATGTATCTATAGAAATAAATATATTTGATATATACGTATGTATATATATAGATATATATATATATACATAAATATAAATATAGATACGCATATAAATATATATATTTATATTAATATATATATATATATATATATAAATATATAAATGTGTGTATATGTCACGAATACATATCTAAACTTATCTATTAAAGGTATTGTGTCAATCAGTCTAAGAAAGACTCTGAGCCGAATGCCACGAGCGCGAGAATCTTATGCTGTGATATTGTCAAACTCGCCGCATTCTATTCAGAGCTCTCCTTGGACTAATTTAGAACACAATACAAGCCAATGACATTTTGAAGTTGTGTATTCGTATTATAGTGCACATATATATATATACATAGTGATTGTGAATACGAATATAGTGATCGTGAAATATTTAAGTTGTGTATTCGTGATATAGTATACATATATACATATATACATATATATATATACATACACACACACACATACACACACACACATATATATATATATATATGTACACGAATATAGTATACGTATATACATATATCATATATATATATATATACATACACACACACACATACACACACACATTTATATATATATATATATATATATATGTACATGTATACACAGTGATTATGAAAACAAATATTAACTTGGTGTACATGCGCATGCACACGCATGTACAGACACATACGTGCGAGAGCCTTGTGTCATACTTTCAGTCATACGTCCATGCTACTGGCTTTGATGATGCCGTCAAAGGTCGTAAGTGCATGAAGTGAGCACCGGTCTGGTGAATCAGGTTACTCTGGTAGGGATCGCTGTCAACAATCTTCAGATACTCTTCCAACTCACTATTCACTACAAGGCCGTATGACCTTATAGCATTAGTTAATTTCAACAGTTGCGACTCTGGCTGGTCCTTATCTCCGGACCAAATAACCAGATTGACGTTGAATACCAGGAGTATCGCCAACATCACTACATCAGCCATCCACTCTCTTTCTTTCTTTCTTTCCTTTGATCGTTGCGCCAATGTTCCAATGCTGATGTACCACTGTGGGTTCCAAGCAGACTGTTTACAATAACAACGAATAAAGGTGTCTCCAGACTTGTGAGGGTCTTTACATCCTTCTCTCCCGGACGGTATTGTGACTTACGCTCCACTTTGACTGAAATGATCTTCCGGCCTTACTTTAATGTCTACTAGCTATATAATCGCTCAGTACAGCTCAATACAAACTCGATGTAACGCTCAATTTCCGTGGTGTATACATACATATAATGTATTACTATAGTAATGGTGGAGTCTTGTCAGAATTTTCCCGGAAGGTGTCAATAATGGGTGCAGGCGGCGACTGCAGGTGGCTCTTACAATGGTTGCCAATATAGGTTGCTCGAATTGTAGGTGGCGGTTTAGGTTGCTCTTGGAGTGGTGGCATCAAGATTTCTCTAAATATTATCTACACCTACATACACTCTACAGTCTACAGTAGCATGGTGCAATCGCTTTTTAAAGATGTGCCACTAAATGAACTACCCCTTCATCCAGAGGATGTGGTGCATGAAATTCAGAAATACAGACCGGATTCGAGATTTAATGACCTGCAAGCAAGAACATAAGACCCGTTTCAAATTGCTATTCCCTCACGCCTTAAAAGTATTCATTTTTCAAATTGGCATGTAAAAAAGGCGTTATATGGCAGGCATATGCGTCAGACTTAAGAATCACAGGTATAAGCGTCAGTTGAGCGTCAGACTTAGTGGTCGCAAGGTTAGGTGTCAGACTTAAGGCGAGTCGCAAGTTTAGCGGTCGCAATCACGTGTCAGAGTCAGACAGTGGTCACAGTCTTAACAAATCACTAAATAAAGAGACCCGCTCTGTGTGGACCTGGCAATCGGTTTCGATTTTCGACCTGTCCGTCTGTCACACAAGCAGAAGCTTATGTACCAATGCAGAGGAAGAGGCGCCTTGTGATAGAGATAGAAACCGTAAAAATTTCGATTGAAAACTCAAAACATGGAGAGAACAATTACCGCCTCAGGTGGCTCAGGTATCTACATTAAACGCCTCGGGAGGCTCAGGTCTCTACAGTAGCCGCCTCAGGGCTCAGATTACTGTAATTGTCACTTTAAAAGTGGCCGAAATGATTATATAATGGCAGGTTTGGCTTGCTTTAAACTGCCAAATACGGAAATACCACTACGTGTTCTTAGGTCTCTTGCCACTACGCAACCATAGCCGTCTTTGTCTAATTTAGAAGGCTACGACGCAACCCGATTTGAGAAATCGAATTTCTTCAATGTGAAGTTGTGTACATCGACTTTTATCTTTTTTTATAAAAAACCATTTTTTTTTAGTGGAGCATTTTTTTTAAACGTGATATTTACAACCATACTGCACACAGTATGTATACAGTATTAAAAAGTACTAAGTACATATACACTATATAGAGACTAATAGAGTCTATAGTCTATAGTCTATACTCATTGTATTATACTCTATACTCTATTGTCTATACACTCTCTTTATTGTGAAAACAACCAACTTCTTGTAGAATGTTTGGGTAGTCACGGATGCAGTGATGAATAATGAATGAGTGGTCAGTGATGACACCATCAGCTAGAGAGTGCGACAAAGTATTTCTCTCATTCTGGGCGGCAGTCATAACTTATATTTAAGTCAGCTTGATGCTCACCAGCTGTTAGCCTGTCACTCATCCATATGACTGATATAAAAATTAAAATGTTAACAAACGCCATGTGTAAAAAATTAAAAATGTGAGTGAACCGTGGAGTTGTGTAAATACTGTGTATTTTAACTATTTACTTCCATCTTGACTGCTTGTCTGAAGTGTTGACTCTACAGTCTACACTCTACAGCCGCAGCGGCTGATTTTCTCTACTCTCTATTCTCTCTACTCTACTAAAGTAGTTGAGTATGTACTATGTAGTGAATTCTCTAGAAAACAAAACCTTTCTAAAAAAAGACTGACTGAATATATATTTATGAGAATAGTGTAAAATACTCTTTCACTAATGAGAAGTTAGAAGAGCTTACTGGGGTTTTTACAACAGTATTACTTGAAATTCAAATATTAGCTTGAAAGTTTTTAATTGGATATATTTTAACAATAGTTTTTTCAAGCAGACCAACACCTTCAAATACCTTTGTGTATGTTTGGTGTCAAGTCGATTTTTGTTTCTGCTATCCCCTGCCTGCTTTTTTTTTTTGCTGATTTGGCTCTATACTCTACTAAAATTTTACTACTGAATTTGGTATAGGCCCGAAATTTATGTTAGGGTTTTGGGACCCAACCCCAATTTTCGTTTCTTTGTCTAAAAAAATATATATGAAATGTTAGCAGAAACAAAAATCGATCTGGAACCGCCTAATATTATAAAGTACAGAAAAGAGAATATAATAAATATTATACATTTTTTAAAAATACATCGCTTGTGCGAATCTTTCTATCCCTTCTGTTTATGTTTTGTTTTTTACAACAAAATACAACCGCATGATAAAAACTCGTTCGATTTAGAAGGCTATGAAAACTGGTTCTTAAAAATATATAGGTCGTCTGGCACGTTGTATGTCATTATGATTGTGTGCCACGGCCAGTGAGTAAAATCGTTTAAAAAAATATAAACGAGACAGCTCCGATTTCTCACTTCAGCAACACAGTTGTCTTCCGATTGACCTCTCGCCTCAAGAGTCTCAAAGTGACTCAGACTCAAACTCAAGATATCCGCAATTCCGTCTTGCGCAATGTGTTAGGACTTGGGAGTTGGGGCTTGAGAGTTGAAAGTCGAGACTTGAGAGTTAAGAGTTGAGAGTTGAGAGTTGAGAGTTGAGAGTTGAGAGTTGAGACTTGGGAGTTGGAACTTGGGATTTCTCTCACTCTCTCGCTTTTCTATCTGAACACAAGACTCAAGAGTGAATACGGGCGTGAGAGTGAGACTGAATGAGGCGGGTGAGCCTGTGTGAGCAGTGAACTGCTTCCTGAGTGCCGAGTGCTGAGAGGCTGAGATTCCTGACCGAGACTCCTGAATCTGATCAAGAAGGGTCTAAAATAAAGATTCTAAAAATCCAAAAGCCAAAAAGACACCGTAAAAGGCAAAAGCCAAAAGGGTCTATTGTAGAGTAAAAAAAAACAAAAACAAAAACTAAATTAATAAAACAATCTCTACTTCTAAATAAAGGCATAAGCATTTTGTGTCACTGGGCCTGACTAAATATAAAACTACTTCAATCTTGTTACATCTCAGTTTTTCCTTGACCAATGTCGACTACAAAACCGGTTTGTGTTGTTTTGGGATTGTTTGGTTTTATTGAACAAAAAAGAAAAACATATGTTTATTAAAAAACCTGTTAAAAATACACTGATGCAGTCGTATATTTTTGGTAAATATTTTTCAAGTAGAAAACAAACGAGTAATTTTTAAATATGGCTAATGTCACTGGTTGAAACAATCTTTACAAATTAACAACATTTAGAAAAAAACACTTCACGCACGCATTTTTTGGACCAGCTGGAGTCTGATTACTCCTGGCGTAAGATCTCCGAGTTCAGAGACCTTGTTGTTTGGAGTTCTGGATTCTCGAGAGTTTTTACTTCCTTAGACTTCAGTGTGGTTCAATTCAAACATTACACAAATATCTACCGATTCATGAGCAAATGACAATATTATATGTCGTTTATACGACATAATACACATTACATGTACTCTTTTTATAAATATATATATATAAAATTATAAATATATATACAAAAAGTATAAAACAGCTGTAAATATATATTAGCAATAACGTTGAAAAAAAAAGGGAACACGTGGGGCCGTGGAACCTTGCTAATGAGCTTTCCTCAAAGTCTCAAATACATCTCGATATTATTCGTCAGCTGTTCCCCTTCGCTACTCTAGTACTCTGAGGTGTCTTCATTTTTCGCATTCAACTTGCAAGTTGCAACATCAGTTCAGACTTCAGACATCAGTTTACTGTTCAGACTTTGAGCTGAGCATGTATCAGATTCAGTGTACATTATATATGGGCTTCTAATATATACATTTAAAAAAAAGAGTTTCAGATGGAATGAATTACATATATATATGTTATTGTTTGTTCTTTTGTAGTTCATAAAGTTCAACTAACTATTTCGGTAGTATTCACATCACAGAAAGTTCAAAACTATGGGTGTTTTCATGAAAGGGCCACTATCCCCATCTATCATACCCAAATCACCATCAATGCAATCATTAAATCCACACAATCCAAAAGCGAGAACTAGGTGGTATACACTTTTCGCCATGGCAAGCTTGATGATATATGCTAGTAGTGTGCTATCGGCCAGAACGACGGGACAGGTAATAGATAGCATTAAAGCTTCTCAAATATACAGAAAATATGTGCATCAGGTAGATATCACTGGTCTTGACCTTGCGTTATTACGATCGAGAGAACATGTAGAGAGCCATAGTGCTGATGACAAGGTTGCATTCTTGTTCATGGAAGCTGACGGTCATGCACAAGACAAAATCTGGTCATCGTTTTTTGACCAGGCTGACAAAGATAAATACAATCTTTATGTTCATCGAAAATCACCCACCAGTCGTGGTAGATTCTTGCAGAAGTATGCATCATACCATGAGGTATCTATGACATCCAGCTCTTGGTGCGCGTTGATGGGACTTCAGTATGCAATGCTGCAAGCCTCCTTGAGGGACCCCACAAACCAGCAGTTTGTATTCTTGTCTCACAACGCCGTGCCGCTGAAGCCGTTTAGTTATATGTACGAGGATCTCGTGTTGAACTCGAAAGATAAGAGTAAATTCTGCTTCACTTCGATTACGGGTTTGATATCTAGCGACTGCCGGTTCCAGGACGATCACAGGAGGGATCGGCCGGATACTTTGAAACATCACCAGTGGATTATTCTATCACGTGAGCACGCTGAGATTGTCCTGTACGAAAATGGTAGAAGTGCGCTAAAAAAATATGATCAAATGAGGGACGTGGTCGACGGTGTTTTCCAAGACCCTAAAATGTGTAGTGACGAAACAGTGCCGTCCATGGCCCTCATACAGAAGGCTGAAGATCAAGGGCTAATCACAAATACATCTGACTACAGGGATGTCTTCAGCGGCTTGGAGAAGATGGGTGTAGAACAGCGCTGTACCACTTTCGCGTACTGGGGAGGGTGCTTAGTAAACACTACATTCGACTTGGGTGCTGAATTCGAGGAGAACAAGGAGAACCTTGGTGCTGCTCATCCAATGTCCTTAAGAGGTGCTCCTGAGTATTTTGTGAGAGACTTGGTCGCCCACCCTTCACTTTTGTTTGCACGCAAGTTCAACGCTGATGCTTTTGTGAATATCACGTTACCCGGCGATTTTGAAGGTGAGTTTACCTACGAAACACAACTATTGAGAGATGTACTTCCTGACTTGATTGAGAAGGTCCCATTCTTCCAAGTGAAGGCATTGGAACAAAACCAGTTAGCGAGGTTGAACACGATCAATGCAAACTCATCGTTATCCATGAAAAACACGTAGTGGTGTGCAGAGTAAATGGAAGACAACATTATCGAAAGTAGCAAAACATACAAAACACCTTACTTTTCTCTTGAATGAAGATTTGTGAATATATAACAAAAGCGTACAAAAAATTCTAAACATTAAATGGCTGACGATTGAGTACATTCTGCGTCCTGTTAAAATGCCCGTTTTACCGTGTGATGTGATAGACAGTTTGAGTTTAATAATTACTGTTCTCGAAACGAAAGTACTTCGAGAAGTGCAACAACTTGAAAGATTATAAGGTGGACGAAACATCCAGGCGATATCGAACGAAATCATTTTCCAACTACAAATCAATTATGTACAGAGGATCCAAAAAAAAAACATGTTTCAGTATATATAGATTACACCACTAAACTCGAAATAGAGATGAAATGAAATGTATTCTTTGTCCCATTTCTATCTACTATGTGCATTGCGATTTAGGCCCGTCATGACAACCCCTGGTTTTTCATACAAGAGGTGATACAGAGGAGTAAAAAGCTATCTATCATACTAAT